GAATAGGGTTAATACAGATAATGTCATGTAATTAAGAAGAGATGCAAAAACGTAAAAGCACAACCTGTACAGGAATTATGAGGGGATGATAATCTCTTATCTTGGATTTTTAAAGAGATATTAAAGAAGCAAAACAGTTTGAATGGATTAAACTAGTCTTTTCTTTCCATGACAACACAGTTGTAAAAGAATTCTGCATTTGGTGAGAGAATTAGTCATTCTTTCAGCTTTATACCCATGCAGTGATAGGAGTCACTGGAGGAATGATATGGTAGTCTTCTGTGGCTTAAGCATTGAACTGAAGTAGATGGAAGAATCTCAGGTGTGGCTGCCATTCATCCATGGTGGAACTCTTAACCCTGAGTTTCTTCCTATTAAGGAACAATGGATTGTTGTACCTTTCTAAGTACAGTATTGTCTGTATGACTTGTGTGGGCCAGGGTGTGTTCAAGGGTCATGCAGCAGATCTCGATGATCGTAAGAGGGGAGGATTGAGAAAGGGAGAACATGTTGGGTTGATGGTAGTTCTATGTTTTGGGGACCTATATTACTTACCTGCTCAGTTGCTACCTGAGTACCTGCATTCCAGAGTAAGGCTTGCTAGATGGTGCTTGCCAGCTGAAGCACCCGAGGATTAAAGGAATTAGATAGCATTGTAGCTGTGGCCACTCCTGGGCTGGAGTGATGGTGACTGGAGCTGAATCTGAGGGTAGCAGAAGCATAACCTGGCTAGGTAGAAGGAATCTGGAAAGAAAGGATATGAAGTCTGGCTGAGATGTGGTTCCAGCGAAGAGTCCTGAGCCCCAGACCCTTACCCTACTTAAGGCAGAGCCCTGAGTATAAGTCAGCATTTGTAGGTAGGGTTTCTCCTTCCTTGTCTTAAGTGGACCTCAGAAAAGCAGTGAATGTGGGTCTGGGTGGCATTGAAACATCTGCAGATGTGATTTTGATAGCTAGATGGCATCAGAGTGCCCACTTTATATGAGTGCCCAGAGTTGGTGACCTCACAGGTAGAGCTGTACAAATGTCTTTATCTACATGGTTTGTTCCTCAAGTTTCATGTATATTGACTCCTTGCCTCTGGCCCTGATGTGCTCTCTACATCTGTAGGCATCTGGGAAAAGAATGAAGGTAATTTATGGGAGGTTTTAGCTTTCTAGGTTAGAGATTCCACCCACTACATATGCTTTCCTAGCTGCAAGACCTTCAGGGAAGGCTCCATGCCAGAGCCTTGCTAGTTCTCAGAATATGGCAGACACTTGAGGACCTCCAGCAACTAGCTGTCTTTGGGGGAGTGGGGCTCAGGTTGGTGTAAAACAAATGGCACTGGCATGTATTAATATTTTATTAGCACTCATGTTCTTTTGATAACAATAGGATTCTTCTTCCTACTTCTTTCTCCATTAACTGCCATCCGCAGTGGCTAGCACTTGGACCAATTCAGGAAATTACTTACGTAGATGTTGTTACATAGATGGGTTATTGCGGCATGGAGCAGACTTCCTCTTGCTATCTTCTTATTCTTTGAAAAAATTCTGCCGTAATGAGGATATTTCTTGTGTGTTGACATCATTTCATACTTGGATTTAACCCCAGAAAGTACTTGTTGATTTGTATGGGGTGAATGATTAGAGCTGGACTTTATGTATCTTACAGGTGTTTGAGTTCTCACTTCAGTCTGTAGCAGCAATGGAAGTTGACAGTCTTAGAAAGCGGACTGTCCAAATAATGTTGACTCTTTAAAAAAAAAATCAAAGTGGTTGCGTCTAAGAATAGGGAGACAGAATCGATGTTTATCTCTCCTTTCTTCTCCAGTAATGCTACAAAGCCAGAGAATCTGAGAGTGCTAAAACCTGTGCTCACTTCAACCTTGGCCTCTGTGCACTTTGTGAGTTTCAGATACAATTAGTTCAGGAAACTTTAGGCTAAGACCCCAAACCTCCCTCCCCTGCCCTCCCCTCCCCTGCCCTCCCCTCCCCTGCCCTCCCCTCCCCTCTCCCTTTCCTTCCCCTACCCCATCAGATGTTACATAAACATGATTTCTAGTTTATAATCCAGGAAAATTTGAAGATCACTTAAAACATGTTTGGATATACTTATAGGTGTTGCATCATCTTTACGTGAAATGATTAAGGCTAGAGTATTTCTTTTTTCTTTTTTTTTTTTTTTCTCTCGAGACAGGGTTTCTCTGTGTAGCCCTGGCTGTCCTGGAACTCACTCTGTAGACCAGGCTGGCCTCGAACTCAGAAATCCGCCTGCCTCTGCCTCCCAAGTGCTGGGATTAAAGGCGTGCGCCACCACTGCCCGGCTGGACTAGAGTATTTCAAGTTCCAGAGTTTTCTAGTTTGGGGAATGCATAACCTAGATTTTACCCATTGAGTAACCTTAAGCCAAAATTTGAAATTTGCAATATGAAACTTTGAATGTGACTTAGAAAGTTACTGATTTTTCAGACTAAGAATGTTCAGGTTGGGGCTGGTGAGATGTCTCAGCGGTTAAGAGCACTGACTGCTCTTCTAGAGGTCATGAGTTCAAACCCAGCAACCACATGGTGGTTCACAACCATCTGCAATGATCTGATGCCCTCATATGGGTGTCTGGAGACAGCTACAGTATACTTACATATAATAAATAAATAAATTAATAAAAAAAGATGACTGTGAAAATATTTAAAAAAAAAAAAAGAATGTTCAAGTTATATGGGCCAGAATATGATGATGGATGGAACTGAAACTAGAGTCCTCATACTGTGCTCTTACACACAAAGAATGTTACATGCAATGCACGTGATGTGTTTCATTGACTTCATGACAGAATGGCCATGTGTTAGAACTCCTTATTCAGGCTTCTTAAGTATCAGCAACGTAACTTGTGTTGCTAGAAAAAGCTTTCCGCCGTTTATCAAAGTGAAGATGTTAAAGAATCCTCTCAGCATCAGAGTAGTGATGTGTCTAGCTAGTACCATTATTGTGTGTGTGTTCTGAAGATGGGCAAGTATGTTTTACATATTCACAGGTTCCTCATTTAATGGCTGTGCTTTGAGGGGAAGGTATCTTGATATCTTTTTTGGTAGCAAGAAACGTCTTTAGACTTTTATGTAGTGAGGGTTGCCTCAGTCTCACTTGACATAGCTAAAATTAACAACTAAAAATTATGATCTGTAGGGCTTTCTGTTCTATATCTTTCAATAAATCCTAATGCTTTATTTTGAGAAAGATGTATTATTTACATTTCAAACCTCATTTTATTGCCATTTTTAGCTAATAGGCTTACAGGTTTGTGGTAAATAGGAGTGTTTGTTTTGCATTATTCTTACTGTGCCCCCAGGTTCAGGCTTGTTCTCTCCCTCCCTGTCTTCCTTGCCCCCAACCGCTGTGTGTGTCTTGTGTGTGAGTGCACATGGATGGACCAGAGGTTGATGCTGGATGTCTTCCACAGTCACGTTTCTCTCTTATTTTTTGAGAGTTTGTAACTAAATCTGGAGCCATTTTAGCTGGTCCGACTGACCAGTGAACCTCCAGGCATCCTCCTGCCTCATTTCCCCAGCACTGAGTTTCTGGGTCTGCGCTACCACAGCCTGTGTTTATTATGTGCACACCAAGGACTGGGGCTCAGGTCTCCATGCTTATGAAGCGAGCTCCATTGAGACATCTCCCCAGTTCTAAAGTAGACGTTTACGTTTGTTTGTTGTTTCTGTGTGCTTGTGTGTAAGATCATGTGAGGAGGTCAGAGGACAATTTGCAGGAGTCAGGTTTTTTTTTTCCTCCACCATGTAGGTTCTGGGAGTCAAACTCAGGTCGTCAGATTTGATGTGAGACACTTTGCACTCACTGCCATCTTGCTGGCTTAGAGCGGACATTTAAAGGCAACAGAAAAAAGTATTTTTGGTGCTATAAAATGGGGTCACATTTAGGGAGAATAGCTAAAATTAGTAATAAAACAATAAAGGCATTAAGAGTTTTGAGTTTATGAGGAAGATTGTTTTTCTCAATTTTATTTTTCATTATGTATGGACACGGGAACGTACATGTACATGTATGTGGGATACAGTGCTAACAGGTCAGAAGAGGGCATTGGGTCTCCTAGAGCTGGAGTTACACGTGATCGTGAGCTGCTTACAGCTGTGCTGGAAACCAAACCCATGTCACCCGCAAAACCGCAAGCATTCTTAGAGCTTAAGAGTTGAGAAATACTGAGTCCTTTTCCATGGATGAGGTAATACTACATGAAAAGAATTTGATATTTATTGTTTTGTTTTAGAGCACTTTGTAGTCTTTTCTTTGAATAGCAGTTCTTTTGATACTAGCAGAAATTTGAACTCTCTCAGTGACTACACTAAAGAATAGTGAGACGAGGCTGCTTTCCTTTACAGTTACTGAGAAGGATTGAGTTTGTTGGTTAGTTTGGTTTTCTTTAGGTGCTTGGTATAGAATGTAGGTATAACCCATCCTGAATATAAGTTGTTTTTATACAAGAACAACTATATTATTTTTCTTTTAATAATTTGGTTTCTTAAAATTAATGTTTTTCTGTTACCTGAGGTTGATAATTTTTGTTAAGGTACAAATTGAAATTTTTTTCTTCTTTTGAAGTAAATTGCTTCATAGCTGTAGCTTAGGGTTGTGTGAAGTAAATAACAAAGAATAGCATCTTTGACAGAACAAATGCCATGGATGTCCAAAATAGATGTTTGGATTTCTGGAAGTGAAAGTCAACAATTGTGTTAGATTTGAATAAGTCTTAGAGCAATGCTATGTTAAAATCCTGAATTAATTTTTTTGATGCTGCATTTTGAATCTTGATTGTTTCATGGCAAATTGCTTTTTATTGAATATATTTACATATAAATATTTTTCTTCATACATGTGCATACTTTTGAGAAGCAACAGAAAGAAATAGGCTGACCATAGGAAATGAGTGACATATTGTTAAGCTTGGGATTATGTGTATATTCTGAAGCCTACATGGTGTTTTTCATCTTGTTTTCCATTGTTCTTTAGGGCCCTCCAGAATTTCCACAGCACACACCTGGACCTGTTCCCAACAGTTTTAACCAGCCACCTCGACTTCCTCTCCAGGACCAGTGGAGAGCTCCACCCCCACCTCAAGAAAGAGACCCTTTCTTCTTAGGAGGTACATGAAGGGATGTATTGGGCACAAGATAAAGTAACAGAAGTTGCATTGATGGTGTACCTGTGCAGTTACTGCTAAAACAGAATTTACCTCCCACCAGGAGATGTGTTACAATGATTCTACCAGTCATCTCAGTGGCTAAAATTAAACAATAATTGGATCTGAAATATGGCAGTCTTGTACAAAGAAGGAAGGGGTTATAGATAATGGCCTACAAAATCATGCTGGGATAGCTAAAATCTAGGACTCTTTATAAAATAGGATGCTACTAACACTTGAAAATAGTGAGGCAGTTCCTGAAAATACTCATTGTAAATGTCACTTATTTCCTTGGATGGAGGGATGAGATGAGAGCCTAGCCTAAGCTATATGAATAAAAGGCTCGGGCTGAGCCCAGAGCATTTCTTTCTCTTAACTATCCCTAGGCCTGAGCCAGGAAGCTTGTAGCTTCTGTACTGTCTAATCTCCAAGCTGACAGAGTAGATCTGCCTTCTTTGTGCTTCTCTTGAATTGTTCTGTTTCGCCTCATACTAACTTTGCTAATATGTTCTAATCTTCTGGCTTCTTTTCATTCTCTGCCTTGTTCTGTCTTTACCTATGTCTAGCTTGTTCTCTCTGCAACCTGTCTCTTCAAAAGAACAGCCACACACACTCAACACCTACTTTCTTCCTCTCAGTCCTCTTACGTAGCCTATTTTTCCTGTCTGTTCTCTGTGAGTTGACTGTATCCTATCTCTCATTCATTCTGTCAAATCTTTCTCTGATCCATCACTCTGTCTGCCCCTCAATTAGATGTCGATTTCAAATTTGGCTGCTTCGTCTTACAAACTAACCTTACTTTCATTGTAAGGGATTAAAGGTGTGTACAAAGAGTGTCTGCATTCTGGTGAGATATTAGGATGTGATCCTTTGCCAAAGCAACCATGTTGCTGTATTAAAATCCCTCTACAGCTTATCCAGGAAGTGTGTGGTTTTTCTAACTTGAAGGTAATGAATTACTATTCAGTTTCAGGTGAACCAAGGTTCCCCAGTCATCTCTTTTTGGAACAGCGAAGTCCTCCTCCACCGCCGCCTCCTCCCACGCTCCTGAACAGCAGCCATCCTGTCCCCACTCAGAGTCCCTTGCCGTTCACTCAGCCTGGACCAGCATTTAATCAGCAAGGACAGCAGCCAGTGTTCCCTCGAGAGAGGCCTGTAAGACCAGCCCTGCAGCCCCCAGGCCCAGTGGGGATCCTGCACTTTAGCCAGCCCGGGTCGGCCACTGCCAGGCCTTTCATTCCTCCTAGACAGCCGTTCCTGCCCAGCCCGGGACAGCCGTTCCTGCCTGCACACGCACAGCCTAACCTTCAGGTATGCATGTGAACCAGCCTTGAAGGAAACCATGCTTGTATCGTGCTAAGCCTTTGTGTTTGATGAAAGGGAAATTTCAGGTTTTGTTTCTGCTAACTTTTGGTTATGTAAAGGATAGGAGTGGTAGTCGTAAGTGTACTGTTCATTACAGCCAGCTCTTCTTGACAGTAGTATTTACTTCCTTCATATTAGGGAATGTGAAAAAAGTGATTCTCGTTTTCCAGGAACTGAACTTGGTCACTCTTGGAATTTTAAAAGGGAAAAAGGGATGTAAGACTACTAACATTTCAAGTCTGCCCAGATAGTGCATTTGTTTATCTTGTGTAGTGCTTTCTCAGCGTCCTATTCCTGCTAGTGAGAAAAAGGGCCTTTCTTGGTGGGGAGGAAAAAAAGTGTGCTTTATGTGACAGGCTTGTGCGCCCTCTGCTGGTAGGCTGGCCTGTACAAGTATTTGTGACATTTTTTCTATCAAGTATATTTTTGTATTTTAATCATAATTATCTATCTATCTATCTATCTATCTATATCTATCTATCTATCTGTTGTACATATCTATCTATCTATCTATCTATCTATCTATCTATCTATCTATCTATCTATCTGAAATACTTGGGAAGTATTGTGTACCAAAAAAAGGGTGAGGAGAGTTGATAATAGTACACTTGTCTCAACTATTTGGATACACAGGGGATAGAAGAATGTGTATTTAGAGACTAGAGAGATAGCTCAGTCATTACGAGCATTTGCTGCCTTTCCAGAGGATGAGATCCAATCCCTAGCAGAAACGTGGTGGCTCACAATAATTTGTAACTCCAGTCCCAAGGGATCCAAAGTTATCTTCTGGCCTTGATGGCCATCAGATGTGCCCAAGTTATGTAGACGTACATTCACCTAGAACATCCATACACATAAATCAATTATTTAAAAGCATATCTAAGCTGGTGAAGCTAGCGTAGCTCCTGCAATCCAGCCTGATCACCTGAGTTTGACCGCTGGAAAGAAAGTGGTAGAAAGACCTGATCCTAGCACGTTACCCTCCTCTGATCTCCTTGGGCACATGCTCATGTTTGTACCTGTATACTCACATGTACACACATCTAGTTGAACAGTAAGTAAACGACATGAAAAATTAAAAAGAATATATATTTAAGCTAAAAATAAAACTATTCACAGTGTTCAAAATGGGTTATTTTGATTTTCAAAATAAAAATATTTTCTCCTTTGTTATGGAAATATTAGAATATAGGTGAACCTAAAGAAATTAATAATTCCATTGCCAAGCAGCAGTTGCCTTGAACATGTAGGCATGGCTTTTTTGGTTGAAATGCAGTGTGTCCTTGTGTCTGTACTTTTTTCCTCAGGTAATATAGTCACTATGGTCTTTGTAGGCCCTTGGAACATGCTGTGGGAGGTTGCCTTTTATGAAGATGCATATGTTTAGGCAAAAAAAAAAGATAGTGTCATCAGGCAATTGCTACATTTACGATGGTGTTAGTTCTCCACATAAGCTGCTTCTCATGCTGGGTTTTTAAGGAAACCATTGCGTTGAAGTCGCCCTAGCACATTTGTTAATAAGCTGTGTTTCTCCTTCTTTTGTAATGGAAGGGACCCTTGCATCCTCCGTTGCCACCACCTCATCAACCACAGCCCCAGCCCCAGCAGCCCCAGCAGCAGCCCCAGCATCACCAGCACCAGCCCCCCCTCCAGCCCCCACTCCAGCCTCCACACCAGCCTCCCCCACAGCATCAGCCTCCTCCACAGCATCAGCCGCAGCAGCACCAGCATCACCACCACCTGTCTGCTCCTCCCCCTCCTCTGATGCCCATGTCTCAGCCGCAGTTCAGGCCGCATGTACAGACTGCCCAGCCTCAGCCCAGCAGCAGTCGGATGCAGTGTACCCCACGTCAGGGGCTCCGGCATGTGAGTAACAGATGGGGGTTAACTTACAGGCTTTATGGGACATAATTTTTGAGATGGATAATTTTCCAGTTTTTAAAAATTAATAGACAGTGTGTTTTCAAAAGAGAAACAAATTTTTTTAGAGTACTTTGCAAAAAGTTTTAAACTATATATATTAACTTACCCTTTTTGAGCCTTGAGTTTTCTGTAGTGCTTAGACAGTACTTTTGAGTCATTCTTCCAGTGCAAGGGCATAGCTTTTGTGACAGATTATCGGCCTCTGTGGGGCCTGAATAAGAGCTTGCATTCAGTTCTAGGAAAGTGACTTCTATTTGATTTTGGTGATATATTTTACATATGGTCAGCAAATGTGGGTCTTGTCATTCATCGAAAGGAACTGGGAAATAGTAGGTTGGTATGAGAGTAAAATGTAGCTTCCTTCCATGGTCTTGTCCTCCACTAGTCACTGCCATTCCTGTCTCTTCCAGGACAAATCACAGTATCCCAGCTCAATTCCTTTCTTTAAGTCTGCCTCTTAGTCCTGTACTTTTGTCCTCATACTTTGAGCAAGTCAGTGAGTTGCTTTGAGCCTGTTTTCCTAATCTGCCTCTGTATCATCATATGACTCAGACAAAAGCTCTAAGGGGATTTCTGGATAGAGAAGAGGCATGTGTAGTCCTGTTTCCTTGTTAAGGTAGCATCAGAAGCTCAGCTCCTCCTTGTGTCAGCCACCTCTGACCCTTGACGTGTGGGCTCTCTCTCTCAGCCATGTCTCTTCTTGTGATAGAACTTTGTGGCACCTTTCTCTTCTAGGAAGATTTTTATAAGATTGAAACATAGTGCTGGGTTTTCCTGTTCCATTTTAAACTTAGGTAAAGTAGACACAGTGTGTTGGGTCCTTAAGGCGGGCAGAGTGGGGTGTTGTTGTTGTAGTTATTGTTTGGCCCAGAATGGTGTTAAAAATGTTAGTCCATATACTGAAAAATCACTGGGTTTGACGTTTATAAATGAAAGCTGAATCTTTGTGGGATTGAATCCTAAGCATCAGGGCACACAGCAACACTTACACATAAAAAGTGTTTGCCAGAGAGTAAGGGGTTTCTCTCTCAGAAAGGAAGGAAGGCAGTTACTGATGACAATGGTACACCCTTGTGTTTTTACTCACTGATAAGCTTGTGTCTCTTTTTGTGACAGAGTGCAGCATCTCAGAACATAAGCAAACGGCCCATGCAGCAGATGCAACCCACTGCTCCGAGAAACAGTAATCTGCGTGAACTCCCCATAGCACCTTCCCATGTTTTGGAAATGAGTGGTAATCGCTGCTCCTCCACACCTGCAGCTCAGGTGAAGTCCATTGTCAACACGTCCCCACCTTGTAGGGCTGTGGTGGCTTCGAGGAGCTCACAGGGAAAGACTGATGCAAAAGCCAAGCCTCTTAGTCCTGGAGCTCAGCCTAAGGAAGAAGCAAAAGCAGAAGCAGAGGTAGGACGCCTTCCTGGGGCACATTTGTTCTGGAATAGGGTCCTGAGTGCCACTCTACTCTGCTTAGCTCGTTCGTGCGAGAGTTGTATTTGTACAGTCATTGTATTATATAGAATCAGTATATATCCTGGTTTAGCAGATGTTTTCTGTAAAGGACCCCCAAGTTCTGTAAATGTTCTAGACAGTCCTAGTTAGTTACTTCTGCCATTGTGGTACAAGGTGGTCCATAAGTAGTTCCTATAGGAACAGATGTGTTGCATACCAGTAACACCTTACTCACAAAGTTCTGTAAATGTTCTAGACAGTCCATGGACATAGTCCAAGTACATGGAGTATGTGAACACACCTGTAAAATCCATGTTGAGTGGACTGATTACGTTGTTCAGTGTAATAATCGCAAGAATTGAGTGACTTCATCATTTTAAAAAAACAGTTAACATGGTTTTAACCTTTTAATTAGGTTTTCATCATTCAGGTTTTCTTCTGATAAGTGATTATGATGGTATTAATTGTATCACATCAAAATTAGGAAGTCAGAATGTTTTGGATATCATTTAATAGTCATGAAAAGTTTGATTTGTGGGTTTCATAAACTGGCTCTACTGGACTGGAATGGTGTGGTTTATAAAGAGCCTTTCTGATCTGGGTCTTGGGATGCACCCTTGTAATTTTAGCTACTCTGAAGGCTAAGTGAGGCAGGAAAATCAATAGTTCAAGGCCATTCTGGGCAACTTAGTTCCTTCTCAGAATTAAAAAAATAATAATAAAATAAAGTGATTTTATATATAAATATTAAGATAATATAAATAATATAAATGTATTATAGATACATTATATTATATTATAAACATAAATATAGATAATATATAATAAATAAATATATGTGTATATATACATATGTGTGTGTGTATGTATATATTTTACCGTCTCTCCTAGTAGTAAAGTATTTGGCTAACATTCCCAAGGCCCTGTGTTCAATCTCAGCAGCCTCCCTTGCCCCGCCAAAAAACCCTAGTTAAAAAAATGATTGTGTGTGTGTGTGTGTGTGTGTGTGTGTGTGTGTGTGTGTATGTGTGTGCCAATCATTCATAGTGCCTTTGGGTTATATAGCTAGCTTAGAAAAAATATATATAAATATATGTATTTAGTCTGGTTCATATGTATATTTCTTACATAGTAACAGTGACTAAACATTACAAGGAGAGGAACGGTCAGCCATGTTTACTCATTTTGTTTTAGACTTACCAGAAATCCTGTAAATTTATTATAGGCAGGCAGATAATTTATGAAAGTAAAATACAAAGTTGACAGATTGTAGTGGTATAGGTCGAATAACTTAATTTGTTTTTGTTCACACACACATAAATGGAACCAGGCTTATATTTTCTTCTTTTTAAAGAACTATATTTATTTTTGCTTAGCTGAAGGTGACTTACTGACTTGACTTAGATTTATTTGGTTGGTATTGGTACAGTAAAGAAAAAATCTAGAGTATTTTTATATCTCTGAACCTACTTTAACTCTTTCTTGACTGCTTGGGAAACAAATGCAGAGGAATCACTCCTGTGTTAGGAAGTGCTGCATCTGGATCCTGGTGCTGATGGCTGTGTCCCTTGCTGTTATTGCACTGTGGGCGTCTTACTCATCCTGCCTGCTACAGTAACAACCCCTCACGTATCTACCTACCTTCAGTTCTGTTTGAAATGTACCCAAGACTTTGACATTTAACAAGAAGTCCATAGGGTGCCCACTCAACTCTCTACTTGTATGATTGTCTTATGTTTTTAATTCTTGAGGTTTATGCATATAGGCAAGATTTGTAACTAGGTGAATTGTAGGTAAATTGAATGTTCAATAAAGATTTTATGAATAGGTGGTTTTATAAAACATTTTTAAATTATAAGCTTTATTGTATTCTTTAGTAAAAAGAATAAATCATTAGACTTTTGAAAGAAATTCTCTGTATAGACTTTGAGTGTAGTTTGGGTCTGGGTTATTCAGGGCACTCACTTAACATTAATATTCCAATACTACGATTGGCAGCATTTTGATTCTGAGGAGGGTGTGTGAGTTCAAGGTCAGAAAGATTGACTTGTGCTATTCATTATAACCAATTATTCTGTGACAAATGAGTTTGAGATCAGGCTGAAAATTCTGTACGAAAAATCAATAGTTGTAATCAGGGCCTTTCAGGTCATTTACACCCCACCTTTTGTTGGTTTGTCAGGGAAGAGCCAGATAAAACCCCCGTGACAGCGGGGAATCATGGCTGTTGCCGTTTCCATTTGAAACATATTTTGATATCTTAAATGAATAGTTTAATTGGTTTCAAACTTGTAAATGACTGGAAATTTAAATTATTTCATTTTTAATATTCTGATAAGATTTTCCAAATTAGGTTTAGCTGTATAATTTTCCCCCTCCCTAGAGGAAAGAGTTATACTTCTTGTTGAGCAGATTTTTGAATGCCTTCTTTCAAATACAAATTGCAAGGTTTTGGGGGAAACTCATTTGTTTGAAATGGCTAACCTATCATGTAAAGCAAAGTGAACTGTTTTTCATTTTAGTTTCCTGATGAAGATGAAGAGACAAGGTTATATCGCTTAAAGATAGAGGAGCAGAAGCGACTGAGAGAAGAAATCCTGAAGCAGAAGGAGCTACGAAGGCAGCAGCAGGCTGGTGCCAGAAAGAAGGAGTTATTGGAAAGACTTGCGCAGCAGCAGCAGCAGCAACAGCAGCAGCAGCAGCAACAGCAGCAGCAGCAGCAGCAGCAGCAGCAGCAGCAGCAGCAGCAACAGCAGATATATGGTTCACAGACCTCCATGGAGCAAGAGGAACTGGCAGCTACACCATCACCCACCAATGGTAACCCATTGTTGCCCTTTCCTGGGGCACAATGCAGGCAGAATGTGAAAACCAGACTTCTTGTTAAAAACCAAGATGTCACCACTGCTAATGTTCAGCCCAAAGCGGTAAACTTTGTCCCACCTGGTGCTAACATGCAGCATCAAGGGCAACACTTGAGACCACTGAAGCATCTGCGACAGCTGCCACACAAAGTCCTCCAGGTCAAACCTATGGACATGGAGGAGATGCCCCACTCCCCACAGGCAGCCAGAGTGACCTCCCTCCAGGGCCAGCCTCAGGACACCAAGCCAGGGGTGAAGAGGACTGTCATGCACAGGGCCAACAGTGGAGGTGGTGGAGATGGGCCACATGTCAGCTCCAAGGTCAGGGTGATTAAGTTGTCTGGAGGGGTAAGTTGACAAATTTTATGCATTTCTCTGTAAATTTGTTTGCCTTAGAGGGTATTAGTATCCATAAAAAGAGTTGAATGTGAACTCTGGTAGAGTCATGTAGATTAAGCAAACCTTAAGATTCAAGTTCTACTTCTGTCTGAACCCATATTGTCTCAGCTGTCTTGAGTCTAGTGAAAATCATTGTGACATCCTGCAACTATACCTTTCTCAGTTTTAGCTTCTTTTTAAGTAACAGTTTTCTCATAATCCAGCAAACAAACTATCAGGTTTGTTGTAGGTATGCTTACACCTTTAATTCTAGTACACAGGAGGCAGAGGCAAGCAGATCTCTGTGAGTTTGAGGTCGTTCTATTCTACAGTGTGAGTTCCAAGACTACACAAAGAAACCCTATCTCAAAAAAACCATTGTTATACACATAGTAATTGTCTATGGCATTATGCATGTATGGTCATAGGGGGTGGACCCACTTTTGAGCCACATAATTGTCCGTGTATTTTCTGTGCTCTGTAACAGTAATACCTGTTGTATGCATTTCACCTTGTAAACTGGGGAAATGACTGACTGAAGGCACAACATTTGTACAGCAAAAAGGAAAAGGACCTGTAACTCCACCCATGAAGGACAGCAGTGCCCCTTGGTATATGAAGTGCCCTGTATGTGGTTTGCTTGTCAGTTAGCTGAGTGGAGACAGAAAACGGAATTTTTCCCATGTGGTGTAAGGACATCACATAATGTCCTTAATAATGTCAAGTAAATGACCTATGTGGAATACTCAGTGAGCGTCCACACGCGTGTTTTATCTGACTGTTTTCCTCCTGTCACAGTTAACATCCGAAGCTGCTCGGTGGCACAGTCAAGTTTGTGCAATGGCTCTTCAGCTTTGAGTCTTTATCTTAAACTTGAGGTTTTAGTCTGTCTCACTGACTTAAAAGCTCAAGAGAAGATGGCTGCTGGTGGGAATAGACTTCCCCACTGGTGGGAAGAACTGTGTAGATGCTCTGCCATAGAAGTTAAGTATCTACCCATAGGGAGCAGCATTTACACTAGAAAGCATACTTCCTTTCCAAAAAAAACTGTATTTACTTAAAATTATCTCTCTGCTCCAATGTAAAAACAAAACTAAGTCATTTAATATGAAATTTATTTGTGATTTTACTTCATTGCTGCCTAATTTTGCAACAAATAGGGAAAACAATCTTTGGAATTTTCCACTTCAGTAGCCACCAGTCAAATGGTTTGGAACAGGTTCTATCTAACCTTTCTTTTTTTGACTCTTAGTACTGATGTGCATTTCTAGCACTGCTGTGTTGACAACTCTGATGAGTCTCTGGTGGTGTTCATTTTTATCTTGAGTAAATAATATTTCCCTAATGCTACCCTCCACCCCCAAGTGGATAGGAACTGTTATTAAGAGAACATATAATTGTAGGTTAGTTGCAAAGTTTGCCTAATTAGGACAGTTCAGAAAGTAAGTAGCTATGTGTCCTAGCATCTACTGCTGTCACATTTATTTGACTTTTATCATTGCCTTTAGTTGCTACTAGGTAACAATCATAGCTGTCCTCTTCCCAGCACTGGCATCATGCTAGGGCTCAGGCCTGTGCTCTGCCTCTAAGAGTCTAGCTATGAGTCTGCACTGAGCCAGGCATCACAGTTGGGCTATCTGAGGATGTGAGGAGGACAAGCTGTAAGTGGCATCTATGTGAATGAAAAGTTTTAGTTTTCCAGTTCACTGTTTGAATTATAACATTGTGTTGTTGGCTGGATTCTATTTTGCTAGGGGCTCTTGACTTCTAATAGAGTGAAAGTATAATATATAGCTTATAAAGTTTCTGAAGGAAAACCTCATGTGTTTTCTCTTTGATTCTTGTTTTTTAGGAGACAGGTAGTTTCTTACTGTTTGCCAGAGTGGCCTCGAACTTGTCATCCTCCTCCCTTAGCCTCTTGCATGCTTGGATTGCAGGCATGTACAACATGTCACACACACGTACACATGCACGCGCTTGCGTATGTATGTATGTATGTATGTATGTATGTATGATCTGTTTTTCAATGGTCTTATGTGACCTTATGAAAGGGTTGCTAGACACCCCCACTACCCCCATCACAACACACGGGTTAGAATTGCTACTTTAGTTGTAGAGGGAGGGAGGGAAGGAGAGAGAGAGGGAGGGAGGGAGGGAGGGAGAGAGGGAAGGACTGTGTGTGTGTGTGTGTGTGTGTGTGTGTGTGTGTATTCCTAAATAAATAAATGCAATCTATTTGTTCTGTATAATGTTACTTGTATTTTTCAGGGCTGACCATTGGAGAACTTTTTATTATAGGGCAGAAGTTAGCTTATGCTTCCTAAGAGAGCTGCCTCCTTTATGTCTGTCTAACACAAAATCTATATAACTAAGTTGAAAGTGTTCAGTAGTCTCTTCCTTCTGGCAGTCACTCTCTAGCCAGGCTTTCTGACTTTCTACTTAGAACATGAGTCTCGGTGCTTGGTTCTAGCCAGTTGTTCTAATACCTCGTACCAGGTGGAAAATGACCCAACTTGTTTGGGCTTGTGTGTGTGTGACTTGCAACCTGTGAGCCTGCTGTGACTCACAGTGGGTGTTTCTTGTCTTCCAAAACTGATTTAAAAATTAAATCATTTATCTTTGCATATTTCGTTTTGATTTTTGAGATAGGGTCTCATGTAGTTCTGAACTTGCTATGTAGTTTGAATTCCTGATGTTCTGCCTACACTACCAAATGCAAGAATTAAAGTGGGTTGCCACCATACCTGACTTTCTTAGAAATTTTTTTTTTAAACTGGATTTTGTGAGAGATGGAGAGAGAGCCTGAGTTTAAGACAGTAGGTTTTAGGTTTGTCGTTTCTTTAATCATGTTACCTTTAAGGATGTTGTCATCGATCTGTCTTCTAGTTGTTGTACAGTAGTTCTCTTTATTAGAACAATTTCATTGTGGTAGTAGGAAACAATCCTAAAGATTTTCATAAGAGTGACTTCTTGGGGGCTGGAAGGATGGCTCAGTGGTTAAGAATACTGACTGCTCTTCTAGAGGTCTTGAGTTCAATTCCTAGCAACCACATGGTGGCTCACAACATCTATACTAGGATATGATGCCCTCTTCTAGTGTGTAGGTGTTTGTACAGATAGAGTACTCGTTTGCATGTAATAAATAATTTATTCATTTATTTTTTTAAAAATGACTTCTTAATGATGATATTATTTATTCTAATAATGATACTATTTCTGTGTGCTTGTGGTGACTGGGTCACTGTTCAGTTATGCCTGGAGGAAGACACTGAGTGTTGTATGGGGCCTGTTGTTGTCATCATATCTGGAGGAAAACATTGAGTGTTGTATGGGGCCTGTTGTTGTCATCATATCTGGCATTGGCTGCTCTGAAACTCATTTCCATAGCACATAGAACTTGAAACTTTCACTCTCCAAGGTCACAAGCTAACTTTGTGTGTGATCATCTGACGGATAGAAGCTTCCCGCCATGCTTGGGTAGTTGTCTGTCTTAGCTGCTTCTGGGATGCTGTGCTGCTGCTGCCTTGTTTTCCTCTTTGTCATCATCTTAATTTCCTATCTGTAAATGGGCTTAATCTGGGAGGAGTTCTAGAAGAAAATCACTGGCAGATGAAGGTGTTCCTGAGGCTCTAAAGAGGTCTGTGCTTCTTGCTGGCATTTGCAACGACTACTGTTTGTCCAGAGTTGAGCATGAAGCACATGGGTGGCAGGTAGAGTCACATTCTCATTTCACAGTGGAGCAAACTGAATCTCCACATAACAAAGCAGTAGGGCCAGGCATCTGGTTGGGCTCAATTCTGAGTCTTGGCCCTATTTAATAATAAAAGCCAAGGTAGGGAATGTAAAAAGTTTATTTACTGTGAGCTACTGGTGCCATCTGTTGTTCTTTGATTAACCACAGAAACAAACAGTTAAAACAAGTGTGTGTGGGAAAGCCCTGCAGCCTCTTCTGGCTCAGGAGAGATGAAACCCAGTTCACCTCTGAGTGGCCTTGGTTACTTGGATTGATGGAGCTTCTTTGCTTATCAGTGAAATGAAGGCCTAGTTCCTTTCAGGGAAACTAGGCAGATCAGGAAAGTAGGCAGATACTTTATCCAGAGTCAGGACCCCACCCAGCCAGAAAGCCGGCCATTGAGGTGTGGCTCCTTTTGTATTTACTTTTAAAGGCTGACTACTATTATGGAAGGCCTCAGTAGATCTGTAGGAGCTTGCTTTGGAAAGTGGGGTGAATTTGTCCATCTCTTTTTGTATCTTAGGCAGTGAGGGTATCTCAATCCTCACCAGGCTTCCTTTAGAGGCAGTGTGTGGGTCCCTCTTTCTGTGGGCCATGGACCACAGGCTGGACTTGGTTTTGTTACATCTTCAATGAAAGAGAAAATTAGAGGCCTTGCCCCTTTACCACATTCACCAGGTGTTTATATCTTGTGCTGCATCTGCTCTTCCACCTCCACCCCCTGTCTCCCTGTCTTTTAATGTCCATTTATGATCGAGTACTTTTTCTTCCTCAGATGGTTTGTGAGAAGGTTGGAGTTACAGAGTGCTGCCTTAGGTCAGGGGTACTAGAGACTATAGCTGCGTGCTGCAGTAATCAGCCTAGCCTGGGGCCTCACCCAGAGCCATATGTTTGATTTCTGGTCTCCTTTTAGTCTGGAGCAGTCTCTTTGTCTTTATGTTGCTTGCCCTTGACATTTTAAAAGACTAAAGTCAGTGATTTTGTGGCCCGTGCTCTAATTTACATTTTATCTTTTGCTTCTTTGGATAAGTTTGAGGTTGTTTGTATTTCGCAGGCTGGCCACAGAAAGGAGCCTGTCCTTAGTGTAACTGTGCAGACTTGCCCTGTATTGCTGAGATTAGCTTTGGTGACTTAGGCGAAGCAGTGTTTGCCAAGTCTCCTACAGCTGGCCTTACCCACTGTCTGTAAGTTGCGGTGGGAAGGAGTTCTGTGTGCGTGCCCCACTTACTACTAGCTG